CTGCTTCTATTCTTGGGCACAGTCACAGTGGCTTGGAAACTGCTGGGTTAGGGACTCTCTGCTTGCACTGATAAGCTCTGAGTGAACACCTCCGGAAGTGGGGTCTGTGTTCCCTTTCTACAACTAAAGAGGCATGTACAGGGCAGGCAGGAGAGCTGTCCGTCTTGAGTTTCTGCTCCCTCTGCCGGATTCTCCGCTCACCACCAAGTATAATGTTACACTGTTTTCTAACCTCCCAAAGCTGATGGATGCCCTTCCCCTCAGGAGACCATTTATCGTCCCAACCAGCTGTTCCTTGCCCAGCCTCTTTTGTGTTACGCTCATTACATTATCTTATATAATGTGATCGGTATACAGCATTTTATCTTTTTTCCATAAATAAAGTGTAGTCATCAGTACTAAGAGAAATACACTAACTTTTTTGTCCTGAAATGTGATTGGGCATAAGCTTTGCATAAACTAATTATCTAACTGAATGCATGAGTTCTAAGATACTGCCAAGAGGCTTTTTGGCAATGAAGACATTAATGTCAAAGTGCAGATCGCCAAGGGAGCCTGGCAAAGAACTCAACTTGGTGAGGTTTGTGCTTGACCATGAAAAGCAACAATAACAATAACACAGGTTGGAAAATGATCATTCAATATGCTTGGGGCCAGAAGAAATGTCTTAGATTTTGGTACCATGGGGATTTTGGAATATTTTGGCTGCATCTTACCAGTTTGAGCATCCTTAACCCCAAAATCTAAGCTGTTCAAAAATTTAAAGCTTTTTGAGCATCATGTCACTGCTCAAGAAGTTCTGGGCTTCAGAATATTTCACACTTCAAATTTGGGGGTTAGGGATGCTTGACCCCTAACAGCTACAATATTTTCAGAGACTTCTAACTGTATGACACTGTAAGCAGCTCCCTTATCTGCCTACTATTTCTCCAAATCCTGGAAAGAAGGTGTAGAGTCCCTAGTGTGCTTTCTGTTGCTGTGATAAACGCCACACCCTTTAAAATCAACCCAGGGAGGAAAGGGTTTATTTGGCTTCTTCTTTCTGGTCACAGTCTGTCATTGACAGAAGTCAGGGCAGGAATTGAAGTGGACACCGTGAAGGATGTTTCGTACTGTCATGCTCACTCTTGATCGTGTTCTACTAATTTTCTTACATGATCTATGACCCCCTGCCCAGGGGATTGGCACCACCACATGGCCTGGGCCCTTCCACATCAATCAACTGTCAGGACAACTCCCAATAGACATTGCCATACGTCAATCCGATCTTGGCAATTTTTCAGTTGAGACTCTGTTGGGAGTCATGCGGCCTAGTTTTGGATCAGCGTAAGAATGCTTGTCCAGTGGGTCTCCACAAGACAAGACCCATGAAGACAGTCTCTCCCTTGGCAAGGACCCGTGGACCTCAGGACAGCACAGAATCCTGCTGAGACCACAAAGCCTGCACACTCTTCTCTCTCCTAATATTGATGATTCTCTTGGTGGAATGTTTATCCTGCTGGGTTTTGGTCTTTTTGGGGTCCCATCTCTCTTTCCTGTGCTCCCATTTCTTCATTTGGGAATGGAGATGTTTACTCTGTGTCATTGTACATTTGAAGTATGTAATTTATTGTTATTTTTAATTTTTTTTTTAGAAAGAATTTTTCTGTGTAACAGTCCTGGCTGTCCTGGAACTCTCTCTGAAGCTCAGGCTGGCCTCAAACTCACAGACAGCCTGCCTCTGCCTCCAGAGTGCTGGTGCTGGAATCAAAGGTGTGCGCCACCACCACCCAGCTTATTTTTAGTTTTTTTTTAACAGGGGCTCACATCTATGATTGTACATTGAGTTTCAGCAGGGACTTTGAATTTGGACTTCTGACACAATATTTTAACTGTTATGCCTCTGAGAACCCTTGGGCCGGATTATAGGTATCTTGCATTATGAGATGGCCATGGCTCTTCTGGTCTGAGGGTAGAATGCTGTGGTTTATATATGGAATGTCCTTCACAAACTCTTACATTGAACACTTTGTCTCCGGTTGGTGCTGCTGTTTTGGGAGATAGTGGGAAGTTTGGGAGACAAGGCTTAGAGCATGGGTTTTCAACCTGTAGGCTGTGACCCCTTGGGTGGAATAACTCTTTCACAGGGGTCGAATATCAGATACCTTGCATATTAGATATTTACACTACGATTCATCACAGTAGTGAAATTACAGTTATGAAGTAGCAACGAAAGTAATTTTAGAGTTGAGGGTCATCACAACATGAGCAATTAAAGGGTTGCAGCACTGAGAAGGTTGAGAACCACTGGCTTGGAGGCAGGAAGTAGGTCACTAAGTCATGCCTTTGAAAGTTATACCAGGTCACCGGTCTCTTCCCCTTTGCTCTACTTCCTGTCCAACATGAAAACCTCTTCTCCACATTCTGTCACGATGGTGTTCTGTTCAAGAGAGGCAGACAAGGAAAACGTCGACTGAGAACTTTGAAACGGTGGACCAAAGTAGGGTTCTCCTTGGAAGCTGTTCATGTGCGACACGGTTAAAAGTAGCTAACACAGTCCAGTGCAGTGATGGTGTTAGCATTCAGGCATTTACACAGGCCTGCCCTCGGAAACTGAGCCACAGTAGGACACTGTACTGTGGCTACTGCCGACCCATTCTCCCTGTGCGCATGCGCTACAGCTGCTTGTAACCAGTAAGCGCTTTCTCTCCCTGCTTTCCTCCTGCTCTTGTTCAGAGGCCTCCTCTGCACTCCCTTCCCCAATAAACCTCTCACCAGAGCTCTGTTGCATGGTGTGACTGTGGCGCCTCTTGCTCCAACTCGCCAAGGTACCCGTTAAATCATTACAGATGGGGGACTGGCTGGCACATTGCTCTGCTGGTGGTTGTGGCCTAATATCTGATGGAAAGATTTATTTCTGGCTCCCTGGTTCATGAAGGCATACATCACGGAGGGGAAGGCATGGCTGCGTAAACATAGGTTGGTGGTCACACTGCATCAGTAGTCAGGAGGGAGATGGAATACTGGGGCTGTATTCACTTTGTCTTTTTTTTATCCACTCTGGGGACCCCAGCCCTTAGAATGCGCGCGCGCGCGCGCGCGCGCGCGCACGCACACACACACACACACACACACACACAGGGAGCTGACTGTCAAGACTTAGATTTTTATAGAGATGAGATGGAAAAACCATTGGAAAATTGGGTATGTTGCTGGGATACTAATTCACTTGCATTTTTTAAAAAAGGTAACCCTGCATGATCTGACTCCCAAACACCTCCATGACCTCCCTGTCCAACCCCATTCCCTGCTCATTCTTTTTCATCTAGTCCTTTTCAGTTTTCTCCACCGTAGGGGTCTGGATTTGCTGTTGTCTGAAACTGGAGCAAGAGCTGGCTCTCGTTTTCCTCCGACAACCCTCCCTTCCTCCCTTTTGGTTTTTGTTCAGATTTTGTTTTGTTGCTGTAACACAATACAAGAAGCGAGCGACTCAAGGGAGAAACTTTGACTCTGGCTCCTTGTGGGTCTAGGCCATCATGGTGAAGGGGCAGCATACACTGTCAGGAAACAGAGATGGTGCAGGCTGCCCAGCGCTTTCTCCGTGAGATTCAGCCCGGCCCGCTCATCCAATGGTGCCACTCACATTTAGTGTGGTTTTTCCCACTTCAATTAATCCAACCTAGAAACTCCCTCACAGACACGTCCAAAGGCTGGTTTCCGTGGTGACTCTAAATCCTACCAAGATTAATCGCCACAGATGGCAACCTACCATCAATCCTTTGATTTTACATCACAGTTCCTAGGCGACTGTTTAAATGTACGGAGTTTCATCTGAGTTGAGACTTGTTCTGTGTTGTTGCCTGTTGTATCCCCAGGATCCCCAATAGTGCCTTGCACATAATACGTGCTCAATAAATAGTACTGCTAACTAATGAATTATATTCTGTCATAGTGCTCAAGAGTGTAACTCAGAGTAAATTAATCTTTTTCTGGGCTTATCAAGCTTCCTTTTCTCCAAAAGAAACGTAAACATATATCCGTTCAATAAATGCTTAACGCACGGAGGGTGCCTCAACCCGAGCAGGAGCTTCCCCTACCCAAGAGGTCGCGCAGTCCGTGCTCTCAGAGTTTGTTGTCCAGCAGGAGAAACAGCCGAGTCGGAAACTTCCCGAGGGAGAAAGAATCTGAGTGTTCACCTGGTGGCAGTGGAGGAACCAGCTAAGTAGAGGGTGGAAGCCTGTTCCCGGCTCACGCGAGTGCACAGGGAACCGTTTCAGTCCGCAAGCCCTGTGCGGGCAAGACCTTGTTTCACTAGCCCCAGACTTGCCCGCAGGCAATCGCCCCATTACCTTCACAGCTATATGGGTGTATTAACCGGAAGGAGGAGCGGATCAGTGAGCAAGAGAAAGTCCAATCTCAACATTTCCAACTCTACGACCTTTGTTAAAGCCCACTGATTTCATAAAGCGAGGCGCTGCCTACGCGCTCAGGATGGGGTCTGCATACTCGCCTACCCTATCCCCAGCCCCGCCAATGGCATATATTTAACTTGGGGACCCACAGCGCAGCCCCACGAGAGCTACGGCAGGAACTACGTCACCGAGCCCCGAGGGCAGCAGCTCCCCGGCAACCTAGGCGCAGGGAAGGAACGGCGTAGCCGCCCCGGGATCTGCACAGTCGGCCCTTCCCGGCACCCCTCGGGGTCGCGCCTAGTCGGCCCCCCACAAGCCCTTGCGCGAGCATGGGCGGAGTCGACCTCTAGGGACGCTACCAACCGCAGAGTAGAGGGGGGGATCTGGCCGAGCTCACTGAGAATGGAGGGGACAAGAGATGTGGAAATAGGGACTTTGAGGATAGAGCATAATAAATGATTCATTATAAAGCAAAGGAGGGATTCCCGCGCCCCAGGGAGCTCGGCTTTCCCCTCGTGTGCGCCCTGGCCCGTCTCCATCCCCCCCTCCACTTGGTCCGTCCCACGGGGGGCGACCCCGTCGTCACGTGCTCCTCCAGGTCCTCTGCAGGAGCGTGCAGCCTGCCTGGGGCACGCTGAACCATGGCAGCCCTGCTGAGACCCGCGCGGTGGCTGCTCGGGGCCTCGGTGGCCCCGCGCCTCCCCCTGTCCCTGCGCCTCTTGGCTGGCGGCCCGGGCCGGCTGTGTCCCGTCCCCCGGGTGGCGGCCGCTGGGGGCAGGAGGCCCGCGGGGTGAGTCCCGGACCCTTCCCCCTGCCGGCGGCCGGGCCGGTGTCGGGCTCGCACGCTCCGGCTCCGCGCTGCTGCTGCAGCTCAGGCCTGAGCCTCCCTCCCATGCTTCGGTCAATGCTTTGCCGGTGGTTTTGGGGGTGACCAGGTTGAGCGTCTTGAGAAGGTCATGGTCGAGGGCATGGCTGGCTTCCGGCTTGGTGCTTGAGGTCGCCACCTGCCCTCCGGCTGCAGATGGCGCGGGAAGCTGAGGGGTTTTGGGGGCGCTGCTGCGGTGGGGGCAGGTGTTGTGCCGTTCCCTAGGCGTACCCTTCTTGGGTGCTGTCCCACACTGTTGATCAGTAACCTGCTAGGCTGTGGTCTTAGGAAGCTTGGGGTTTTCTCCCCCCCCCCCGGGGGGTGGGGTTTGAAGTTTTGAGTGACCCAGGGATAGTTTAGACCTTTGGATTGCGGCCAGTTCGGGTTTTTGCCTGCGTTTTGTTGAATGGAGTTTTCCTTCAGTGTCATGGGTTGGACATTGTCTCAAAAGAGTAGGTTAAAGAACACATGCAAGGCACTGTGTTGGGATCTAGCTAGGTATGCAAAAGCAAGTTAAATGCCCCCAGTTTGTGTCAAGTGTTTGTATGAATACATCCTCGTGGAATGAGGTTGTAAGGGAGGTAAGAGTGTTCATTTGATTAGTATTCTAATCACCAGAAAGAGGAAGATGGGTACTTCGGTTTTAGCACCAGAGAGAAACTGACAATTGAATGACCCACAGAAGAACGTTGGGGTCTAGCAAGAAGATTTAGGAACTTATCTGGAGTGGGAGACCCATGGACTGAGGGTGCTTCAATTTATTTGCACTATGCCATTGGACAAATCACTCAACATTCCAGGCCTTAGCTTCTTTAGGTACACAGGTGGGCACGGCCCTGAGGTGGCGAGCAGTTCATGAGATGCAGGGCTTGGCATGTAGGAACTGCTTTCCTGCTGTGAGAGAAGTGATTTGGGGCCTTGCCTGCGTTTGTGTGTTAGGCCTGAACAGTGAAGCAGTCAGTGCCTTTGCTTTTACCACATCTCTTCATCCTTCATCCCCAATCCCTTTTACGTTCCTTTAGTCTAGTGGTCCTCACAACCTATGGGCCGAGACCCCCTTTGGGGGGGGGGGGGTGCGTATGTCAGATATCCTGCACATCAGATATTTACATTATGGTTCATAACAGCAAAATTAAAGTTATGAAGTAGCAACTAAATAACTTCATGGTTGGGGGTCACCACAACATAAGGAACTGTGTTAAAGGGTCACAGCATCAGGAAGGTTGAGAACCACTGCTCTAGTCCTGAACTGAGGCCAGAGGCCAGTGTTGAAGTGCTGTTGATCTCTGTCCTGTTTGGGAAACAGTGAACACATTTGAGCGGTAGGCTCTTGGTCTGGATGTTCAGCAGATCTGGGTCCCATTTCTTTTTTGCATAATGTTAGACCTCTTACTTGCTTCTCTGAATTGGGTAGTTAGTGGTGTCTGTAAGGGAGAGGTGCCAGATGTCTCTGCAGAGCTGATCTTTTGTCATTCAGGACCCAGGTGTCTGTAGAAGCAGCTTTGTCTTAACATGATTCAGAAAGTGGCCTTGCAGACCAGCAAGGCGGCCCGTTTAGAAAAGGCACTTTCCCTGCAAGCCTGATGACCTCGGTTTGACCCCCAGGATCCGGGTCAAAGGCGAGAAAGGCTCCTGCAGCTTGTCCTCTGACCCCCACATGTGTGCACACAGAAAAGAGAATGGGAGTGGTGACGTCACTGACTCTGAGCCGTGTCTGTGGCGTGACCCACCTGTGGCGTGACTTGTTCAGTGTCCGCGGTGGGAAGGAAGCTGCCGGAGCACAGTGCTGGGTTTGGTCACAAAGCTGTGTGTGTGTGCCCGCAGGTCTCAGTAGGCAGTAAAGTAGGATTTGTTTACTTTTCCTGGACTTTACACACTTTCCCCTGCAGTCTCCTGTCCGTCCCACAACGTCTTTTTGTTTTGTCTTTTGACCCCCCCCCCCCAAGACAGGGTTTCTCTGGCTGTCCTGGAACTCATTTCTACACCAGTTTGGCCTTGAACTCAGAGACCCACCTGCCTCTGGCTCCCAATAAAGGTGTGTGCCACCACCGCCTGGCTATCCCACAACTTCTAAGCCTGCCTAGATCTTTTCCATTGAAAAACACAACCTTTTCTCAGGACTCTATTTATTAGAAGCTTCTTAGTCTCTTTCCTGCTCAGGGTCCCTTGTCTCCTTTGCTCATTTTTCATTTACTCTAATATTCTGTTCTCATACCTCTGCCTCGGGCCATCAATGTCTTATTACTTTTTTTTTTTTTTTTTTTTGAGACAGAATGTATGTAACCCTGGCTGTCTTGGGACTTGTACCAGCTTGGCCTCAAAACTCACAGAGAACCACCTGCCTCTGCCTCCTGAGTGCTGAAATGAAAAGTGTGTACCGTATGCCTCGAGTTTTTACTTAAAAAAAAAAACAAACAACTTTTTGTTTTGTGTGTTTGTGGGTGTGGTGCCTTCGGAGGCCAGAAGAGCTTGTCAGATCCCCTGGAGTTGTAGTTAGATGCAGTTGAGCTGTCTGGCATGGGTATTGGGAACTTGGGTCCTCTGGAAAAGCAGGAAGTGTTCTGAACTGCTGAGCCACCTTTCCAGCCCCATTTATTTATTTTTTATTGTTTTAAATCGTGAAGTCATGTTCCTGGAGGAATAACTAAATTACACAGAGAGAGAACACCAGAGCCTTCCTAACGGTCACCGAGAGAGCCGTTGGTATATCGTTAGTACATCTTCCCAGTCATTTATGAGTATGTGGTTCTGTGATGGCTTTACGTCACTTTGGCAGAAGACATCGTGATTGCCAGATCTGTGTTCTGGGCCTGAATCTCTGGCATCTCCAGCTTTCCTTTCCTCCCGTGATGGCCTTTCCCGGTGCCAGGATGACCATGTCAGTTTCTTGCGTTTCAGGATTTTTTTTACACCTACCTCGTTGCTGTGTTCCCCCATGTTCATGTGTCAGACGCTCGTGTACTCAGGTTTGCTGTCGTGTGTCAGACGCTCGTGTACTGGGGGGGGGGTTGATGTCGTGTGTCAGACGCTCGTGTACTCAGGTTTGCTGTCGTGTGTCAGACGCTCGTGTACTCAGGTTTGCTGTCATGTGTCAGACGCTCGTGTACTCGGGGTGTGCTGTCGTGTGTCAGACGCTCGTGTACTGGGAAGTCTTGCTGCTGGCATCTCACATCTCCTCACTCTGTGCATTCTCCTTGTAGATGACCCTTAGTTTTCAGTGGCTTTAGTCAGGTGGTTGCATTGTCTCCTGGACATGGGCTGTCATTGGATAGCTCCCTCATGCTCAGCCACAGGTCCTTCAAACCCAACACATCTTGAGTGGAACTCAGCTTTTCTCGCAAGTCTGTGCTGTGAGTGTTGTTGTTCTGTTACTTAGAAAGAACCCACACTTGTTTATTCTTGCTTCCCCCCCGCCCCAACATCTCATTCTCTCCTTTCATCAACAACTGATTAAATGCTGGAGTTCTGCTTCATTTGGAATGGATACCCCATCTCTCCTGCCCCCGTCATCCTTTCTCTAGAGTTCCTGATAACCTTGACTGCGTCCCTTCAGGTTCACAGTTAAGCACTCTGGTGGCCCCTGCTGTTTTCAGGGTAAGGTCCTACCTGGTGCTTTCATGGATACTTTGGAAATGAGATGCCTCACCTTTTCTGTCTTTCCATGGCAGGCTGTCAAAACTACAGTGAGGGCTGTTTCCCTAGGAATCTTGTGAAAGTGCATAGTCTGATTATGGAGATCTGGTCAGGACTGAGAGGAAATGTCCTAACAAGCCTCCAGATAATAGAGGTGCTGTGGGGCTGAGTCAGGAGGGCCCTCTGGGCCGAGGTGCATAGCCTTCTGCTTTTGAGTCTGATGCTCATTCTCTACTGAGAAGTCCACGGCCTCTGAAGGCTTTTCAGCTGCTGCTTCCAGGTGAGTTCCTTTGATGTCCTCTTCTGAGCTCCTGTAAGGAGATGCCGCTCGTCCGGTTAGCATGTGTGAGCGCTGGATGCTGTTCCCTGCGCCACTGTAGACCTGTTGTTAGTTCTTAGAGGCAAGGACTTGATCTTACTGTTTGCCTCCCTCGATGTCTACTTTGCTCATGGAGTGGGCATCAGACATTTGTTGACTAAGTAAATCAAGGACCATCGTACACTGAGAGAGGGATAGTACGAGGTGAAGCTTAGGGGCCCTCAGTCCGTCCTGTGCTGTAGGGCCGCTCTGCATCGTGCTCTCCAGCTGTGCTGGCTGACTCAGGACTGGGCGGTATTGAGCAGAATTATTAGCATTGCTTGATCTGTTTTCAAAATCGAAGCACCCAGAAGTGTGCACCCCTGTATTCTTGGGTCTTGCCCTTCAGTTTACTTTTTAGTATTTGTCTCTTTTTTGGAAGCAAATTCTTCTGGCCCTTACCTTCTCCATGAGGAGGATGAGGAGACTTTCCTTTCTCCTGTTCTTTCTGAAGCTGCTTGTATTTCTCCTGAGATTTTAAAGTAATCCTCGTGTGTTTTAGAGGAATGATAAATTGGAAGCTAAGTCTTTGTGAAAGTGGACCTAAATTGATAATTGGGCCTAAAGGTGGAGATTGCCAATCTCTATGAGAGTCGGCATAGAGACAGAAGAAAACTTTTCCTTTTCACCTGGCATTTTGGAAAGCTCTTAGAGCCTGAATCCTTTGGGCCTCTGAAACCTAAGACTCAGCCCTGCTCTCTGTTTATAAGTTTGTGAAAGCTATGGCAGTCCCATTTACTGATGTTACATGCTCATAAGATGATATGTGTTTCACAGAGAAGGGCAGCCAGGTTTGTTTTCGGGAAGGAGGCCAACAGATCAAGCGTACATGCACTCATTCTTGCGTGCCTGTAGGTTTCTTTCTCAATCAATGTGTGTAGGTGATGTGCCACTGTGGGCTTATGAGGTCAGAGGACAGCTTTCCAGAGCCAGT